CAAACTTATATCATTAAAAGATTATACTGACTACTAAGTACAATTTTCCATTGACAGGGGCAAAAACACAAAAGTATTTGTCACCTCAAACACAAAAATATTGACTCTCATTAGAATTTTTTTTATACTTTTATATAAAGTCAGTTAAAGATGTCATTAAAAAATCTCTTAAGTCAGTAAAAGAAAAAAAACAAAAGAATTAGCAAACTAACTAATAAAATTAGCAAATTATTAAACACACTGACCATTACTATGAAAATTAACCCTAAAAGCTACCCCATATATTAAGGTTTTTTAGCCCTTTTTTCTGACCTTCATGAATATTTATTTTACTGGAGCAGTTATTTGAATCGAGTCTTTTATGAATTTACTCTAAAATCACTTTATAGTAAACCATGTTGGAGTCAGAGTAGACATGTAGTGTCTGGTCCACAGGGCTGTAGTTCAGGGCTTGAATGTTGGGAGAAATCTTGCTGATGAAGATGCCTAGGTTGAACCGCTCCTTCCCCGTCACGGTATTGAATGAGTAAAAGATCTCCTCGAGCTCTTGGTTGACGTAACGTGTGGCGTAGAGAACGCCGCAGGCCATGAAGGTGTTGGTCACCGCTTGCTTGTACACTGACGTTTGCCAGGTCTTTCCAAGTGCAGGTGGTTCACCCTCCTCCACCTTGGACAGGATCATGTTGCCAAAGTCCAGGGAGGTGGTGAAGACCACCCAGACACCAGATTCATCCGTTGCAAGATCCAGATCAGTGTATGGGTAACACTCCTCAAGGTGGCAGAAGTTAGCCTTTGAGTTATATCTGGTTAACAGAGGACAACAGTGAATGTTTTACACTTAAAAAGCAATTCTTATTCATAAATGAACGTTTCCATCATAGTTATGTTTCATATTCTTGCAGTAATGAGCTCAAATACAAAGTTGTGGAAAAAAACCTAGTGCCTTGGTGTAGTTCTAAGGTAGTAATGTGTTTGGTGGTGAGGTCGAAACGACAAACAGCATCTCGGTTGTAACAGTTGTAATACAAAGCCCCTCCATACAGAACATTATTTGGACCCTGGATGGTGTTGGTAGTTGGGTTAGAGGTGTGGATATAGACATTTCCTGGCAGAAAAAGAAGTGAAAGGAGAAGAAGCAGTGTGATGGGGAAACTCAAATTTAAGGATCATTGGTTGTGTTTTTAGA